TCACAATTTTCTTCCATTCTCGTGCTTCTTGTGCCTTTGCAAAAAAATCAATAAGTGCTACACACTAAATCTACTGACTATTAAAAAAATATCTTTTTTTCATAGGTTTAATGCAAGCCAATAATTAAACCAACTCGTGACGGGAATATCTCGGTGAGCATTCGGAAGTCAGCCAAGCGTGGTCATTGCACGCGTGCTGAACAAGAATGCTGTATAATGACAGACTAGAAACAATAGACAACTCCCAAAGCACAAACTCAGCCAAAACGCTAAAAATCTTCAATGTTTACTCAAGTTTGGGCTTATGGAAGGTAATGTCACAGTTTTTCAATGACCATGAAATTCAGAGTCCGGGTAGTTAGTTAATCAATTGTGGCCCTGAAAAAATTTGAGGGCGTCGATAAAACCAGGAACATGGAACATCCAGGAACATTCCGGAACATTCCGGAACATCCCGGAACATCCCGGAACATCCCGGAACATGAAAAAATTGAAATATTTTTTTATGAAAAAATAATTAATTAATTAATTAAAAATATTAATAAAAATAATAATAATGAATAATAATAAAAAGAACAATAGATAGAAAACAATTTTTGCAAAAATTTATAATAACAAAATAAATAACATAACATAACATAAAAGCGAAAAATAAAGAAACGAAGAAAGAAAGAAAAAGAAACTGGTATCATCTCCGAGTATGAGAAAAAATATATTTTGTCGCAATGAATTTTTTGGGCGAGTGAGGGTTCATTCAAATGACAGTAATGAGTGAAGGCTTGTTTCTAAATTCAAAATATATTAAAATGGGTCGCGAGGAGGGGGTTTTCAAGCTTTCCTCACACAGCCACGTCTTATCTCAGGTTTGCTAGGTAGTTTCAATGGGAAATGGCAGGGTTTTTCAATGGTTTGCTCAGAAAGCGAGCTAAGGCTAGTCGATATTGTTTACATTTCCTGGTTAAACAAAATCTCTTCGAAAGGTCAAATTGGGTCAACTTGCATGGGGCCGCTCGCCTCAGAAATAACTTTTGCCAAGAAAAAAATTATATCACGTTCAAAAATAACTCTTGTACTTGCTAGAATTGAATTTTGAAAGAGTTCTACATAATACCGAGTATGTTTTGAGATGTTTGAAAACGGCATGGAATTTTTGATTTTCAAGTCTAGAAATTTCGGTTCTCTTCGCTTGGTCTCCAGGAATTCGGAATTAGAATTGTAAGTCTAAAATATCATCAAAGCAGCTTAGCAATACCTCCTAACTAAAATTATAAACTAAGGAAAACCATTATTTGCTATGCGCCTTCACGCGAGTTCGAATATGTGATCATGAAATTTGACCTCATTTCCGTGATTTTTCGGCTTCACGGGTTGTCAACTGTTTTTCGTAATTTTCTCAAAAATGTAAAAACTCTAGAACCTAAAACTTATATCACGATTCTTAGCATATCATAGGTTATCTCTGGACGAAATATCAAGGGATCGATTTTTCCGACCTTGTGCCACATTTTTTCAATCTCACTCGGTCCCTATGGAGAGTCGCTCTTAAACGCTGACAAACGTCAACAAATAGCGAAAACTGTAATTTCTATATGTTTGCTTTGCTCGAAATCGCGCGCATTTACAAGGCCCTAAAGCGTTTTGCTGACTTGCAAGGACCCATCTGTGATAACGATGCCCAAAATAAAGAGATGAATCTCATAGTTTATTAGATATAATCCGTGGAAAGTTTGCCTATCATTTTCGCATAAATTATGACCTAAATTTGGAAAACGCTGAATTTCTCGAATTGGGTCTTTGCGATTTTGGTGAAACTCTGTTCAGCGCAAGGCACTAATGCGCACTATGTGTAGCCGAGAGATTTTCACGAAAAAATGCCGGCAACAGCAGATTTTCGACTCAGACCTCAAAGGGGCGCGGCATTATAACCACGTGACATTTACTCCAATCGCCAAAAATTTTATGTTATATTGTATATTGATCTATATGTTATCGATTCTATGTGTTAGACTTACGATAAAAGTAAAGGCGGGGATACCAGAGAGCTTCAAAGTGGGATGGTACCCCCCCCAAAAAACTGGGTCGAGTCACCTTAAGTGACAACATGGATCTACACATGGTGTAACTTAGAAATTGCTTGCAATAAATTATCTTCCATAAAGTAGATGTCCCCAGACCTCTTCTCAGAAGATGACCCCTGTGGTTTGATTCTTGTAAGCGACCACCAAGTCTTTGCATTCTGGGCTGTCACTTATAGGAGGTTCGACTTTACTCTCAGAAACATGTACATACAACATGTTTCGCAATGGAAGTTAATGGCATTTTTAACGTGGTGCAAGCAGGGTACAACAAAGTGCTGTCTGATGATCCAGGGCTAGTAGGGTTTAATATGAGTTAATTATTATAAGTTGTCCGATGAACAAGCCTCTTTTACTTTAAGTGTGAGAATAGGAGAGGGCTATAAAGTTACATGTAACATGCAAATTATTTTGTTCATATTTCATTGGGGACACTTCTCAGCAACACTTTATCACTCCATCGTGGAAACTACCTGAATTTTATTCCTTCAGTAGATCAGCTTGCAAAAACACTTTACCTTATTGTTGCTCAGCTCATTGCCAAGGCACAGTTTGAAAGGGCTCTGGATCATGCTAATGACCTACATAAATTCATTCAGCTTCTTAAGGTATGGAAGAGCTACGACAGCGAAAAGGTGGAGAAGGAAATTGGATCACTTTGTTTACGTTCATCTGATTTGTTTCTTCAAGGAGCTGGGAAGCTTGAGGAGGCAAAAGTACCTCCAGGGGAAAGACCATCTCACTTGTATGTTGTGTTAGACTGGAGAAAGCTCTCATTACTCTTTCAAGCCGAAGCAAATGCACATTCTTCACTAAAATCCTTAGTAGATAGAACTCTGAAATGTGGTACAAAATATCAAGTCGATTGTGGGCCAAAGAATGTTGATTTTAAAACCTTAGCAAGCTTCTATGAAACCATTAGTAGTGCACTCATGAACAAGCAAGAACAACTAATTGCAAATGTACAAAAATTTACAGTACTCTTAGCTGAACTTGGATTTCATTATGGCAGAATTTGTAATAAGGCTGGAAACTCAACAGAAGCTTTGGCCGTGTTTGATGAACTGTTGAAAACTGCAGGAAATGAAAACCATTGCAAAAATGGTCATTTTAAACTACAAATACCTCCACAAGTTTGTTGCTGTGTGTATTTAGTCTGCAAGGCAGCTATTTTCTTGAACTCTACTTTAAAATCTCAAACTCAAGAATCTCTTCAGCAGATGTTATTCGAAAGTAACCGGCTAATCCCCCAGATCTTGAAGTGTAGCACATTACCTTCACCAATGTTAAAACCACTTTCAGACTCCCTGGAGTACTTCAGAATTAATTTGCAAAATGAAAGTAGCAAAAAGAGTAAGGAGAAATCACCCACTCTTTCATTGAAGACTCTGCAAGGAACAGTACAAGTGCAAGTCTTACATCTCAGTCTCATCTTTGCAGTGCGAGCAGCTTAAGTCCGAGCTGCTTAAAGCCAACCGTGATGATATCGTGGCACAGCTGAAACAACAGGTTCTAAAGACCACAGAAGGGCAACTGGCAGTGTTTAGTTTTGTTGTTCCTTCATGTCAAGATCGGTGGAGAACTGAAAAAGATGCAAAACGTACAATCAGGGATTCATGGTCAGTATTAGGGAGTTTAAGATACGGCGACTACGGACTACGACTACAAAACGACTACGGATAAACATGCTACTGCGCATGATCAAAACCACGTGACTGTTCGTTTTTCCCGCGTAGTCCTGCGGCTACGGTGAGTTGTTGAGCAGTTTCGCGTAGTCGCGACTACGGAGAACATTTTGCTCGTATTTTGCCGTCTTGGTACTTCAAGAATCTCGTCTTTTTGTAAAAATGTTTTTAATTTACCTGCTTTAAGTGAGGGAAGCAAAATATGTAAGTTGTGTCTAATTTCTGCTCAGATTTACGCTTTTAATCCACTGTTGTGACCTCATTTTTATCTAGCTAAGCCCATATTTGACAAGGTTAGCTGTTTATGGGCTGAATTCCGATTGACGGCCGAGGAGAAGAGAAATCATGCGCGTAATTTACTTTCTCTTAGCATTTGAAAAGATTCAATGTTTGTTCGAACCGATTATTGTGTCTTTCTACTTGTGTAACCTTTGTTTATGCGAGTTTTTGTATCGCATTTGCTGAATGAAAATGATGTAAACATCTTCTAGACAATCGAAACTCGGCATTTCAATACTTCAGACTATTAAAATCAGATCAGTAGTCGGAGAAGTCCATATTCTAAATCTAATAAATGAGCTATTACTATTTCTGTCTATTTCTTTAATATTTGACGAGATAATTCATGGGCAAAAATAAAACCTGTGTAACCAAAACTTTGTTTACAATTTCACCCGACGTAATTGCTTCCTTCAAGTATAGAGAATTTGTTCATTGTTCTAAAGATAAGATCACACGCAAAACTGACTTGCATTTTTGTGAACTGTGATGAAAACAAGAAAATCTTTGCGTGTTGTTTCCCTCTCCGCCTCTTCTCTCGTAGTCTACTGTCTGTAGTGCAATCTTCACGGTCTATATTTGCACGACTCAACCCAGTGCTACGAACAAAGAACAACGCTCGTCCAGCCGTAGTTCGTAGTCCCTAGTCGCCGTATCTTAAACTCCCTATTGTCACAAATTAACTACAGTGTAGGTTAAGGAAAGGATATACTACTGTATATGTTGTGTTCAATTTTATCCTTGGGTTTATATTTTGTTTTGGGGAACGTTAATGGATGATAACGAGTGAAAAACAAAGGGCAATAAAATTTAAGCCGAGGATAAAAAAATTGAGCCACAACATATACTTTGTAGTTTAATTTACAAAATTGTTTTCGGATTTTCGGCGGAAGCGGTTGTTGAGACAGAGATGTCTACTATGCAAATAGGGTGCCATTTCATGGGAATGTTTCAGCACTTTTGTCCATCATCGTCTGAATGCAAAATTGTGTTACTGCACACACGTTGAGCATTGTATGACAATGATTTTAACTGAAATTAAAGCAATGAGAGTCATGTTTTTATTATTGGTGGTGGGAGTGACATTGACTTAATATAAACGTCCAAATTATAGGTCTAATACGAGTTAGCTGATGACGCAACAAAAGGGCTACGATTGTCAGAATTGACGGCGATATGCTTGTTAGGGAAAAATTAACGCTACAATTCGCAAATATGTACGATTTTTCGTAAACTTCAAGGGTATGTGTACTAAAAAATTTAGATGAAGTGAATATTTCAGGTTCTTCACTTTATCGGATTGTACCAGTAGAAAAAACTAACGGGCAGGGTAAAGATCGATCAGCAGAAAGAAAGTCACCGGGCGGCCACGGAAATTGATATTCAGTGTTTTATCTTTGGAATTGCCTGCTCTAAAATATAAAAGAAGTTTCCAAATTGCTAGAAAAGGGCAGTGGTGAGCACTACCCAAAAAGAGTCCTGCGGCTACACAGGGGTAATTAAACTCCCGGGCTGAAGTCACCGGAAGTGAGTTTGTTCACTCGTAGGCCTAGCACCTCCGGCTGTACGGAATCCTAAAGTTTCTCAACCGATTTATGCGCCCTGATACAGTCACTGTGAATTCTGCAAGAAATACCATAAATCTGATTCCGCTTGGCTGATTTAGCGTTAAAAATGGCGGCGTCGGTTTAGTTAGATCTTGTTCGTTGGCCGATTCAGCAAGATAAATCCATAAAGTCAGATCTGATAAGATATAACCGGAAAAAGGGATAAAACCTGGACTTTAAGCGTGCAAAGGTAAGGAAATTAAGGTTGTTTATCGCACTTAACAAATAAGCCTTCGCAATTTGCATCTGAGCAGGCATTAGTTGGATGATCGATTGCTCCTACTACAATTATAAATACTGACAGTGATTACCTAGATTCGAATGCTTAGAGACCTCTGCTAGCAGGGAATTACAAGCCCTATTCTTTGAGGTAAATGTAGCACTGAACGCCGAATAACGATGCTACTTTACGCAAAGAAATTCTGGATATTAACTTCCGTTCTTGTATAGATTCAAGTAGGGTTCCTCAAGTTATATTTGCATAAGGCATTTACAACGTTAAGGTGTGGGATTCAGGTCGTTTCATTTCAAACTTGCAGTTTGAATTGTTTCTAGACAAACATAAGTCGCTTGGACGCAAACCATCATGAAAGTGATAACCAAAGCCCACCAGGCGGTGCTCAGCAATGCAGAACTTGCCTGTCTTGTCTGCCATTTCGTTTGTAAAAGTTTTAGCGTCTACTACTTCCACGACGGTTGAAGTTGGTTGCTTCCTAACACATTACTTTAACTTATTTTACATCTAATACTTGTAGATTCAGTTATTACCAATGGCTCTGGCAGCGTAGTTTTGTTCTTTAATCTTTAATCATTATTTATACACGGTTGTTGTATACAGGCATATAAATGAGTGCGCATTAGTCCGAATAAATATAAACCTATGTCTAGTTTTAAAAGCTTTCATTGGTCAACGTTCAGGTAACCGGCTGTTATTCAATGAATCGAACATTTATTCCATTGTCACAAATTATGGTTCTATGCATGGTGATCCATTAGCCCGAATTTCATCCGATTACTTCGAGTCGTCATTACTCCCTCAGTAACGTCTGAATCGACCGGCCGTTAATACCGTCCAGTGACGTCACTACTCCTTTTCTTTTATTCATGCAAGAAATAAAACACGATTTTCAAGTGGCAAACCAAGAAATATCGTTTGGAAATGTCTACATGATACTGTACAGTNTTCGTTTGTAAAAGTTTTAGCGTCTACTACTTCCACGACGGTTGAAGTTGGTTGCTTCCTAACACATTACTTTAACTTATTTTACATCTAATACTTGTAGATTCAGTTATTACCAATGGCTCTGGCAGCGTAGTTTTGTTCTTTAATCTTTAATCATTATTTATACACGGTTGTTGTATACAGGCATATAAATGAGTGCGCATTAGTCCGAATAAATATAAACCTATGTCTAGTTTTAAAAGCTTTCATTGGTCAACGTTCAGGTAACCGGCTGTTATTCAATGAATCGAACATTTATTCCATTGTCACAAATTATGGTTCTATGCATGGTGATCCATTAGCCCGAATTTCATCCGATTACTTCGAGTCGTCATTACTCCCTCAGTAACGTCTGAATCGACCGGCCGTTAATACCGTCCAGTGACGTCACTACTCCTTTTCTTTTATTCATGCAAGAAATAAAACACGATTTTCAAGTGGCAAACCAAGAAATATCGTTTGGAAATGTCTACATGATACTGTACAGTTGACAGAATTGCTTTACTCTTTTCGATCGTAATTCATGTTTTCTGAACGTTCAAACTATCAAGCATGCAACGACTGTACTCCCCAAAACAAGGAAACAAGAAAGAAAAGCTAACAGAGTATAATCAGCGGTCAGCGACGATGATGTCCGCGTCTTTTGAAGTTGGATAGTTTTAATGAATAACAAAGCTATATTACAATAAGGTCAATCCTGTTAAAGGGCCATACCGATTTAGTTTTCTATAATGTGCCCTTCTACATTCTAACTTTCTTTTTTTTATTATGTACACGTAGTTTAATCAACCTTGTACTTATTTATATTGAACAACTAATGTATTATCTGTAGGATGGAGGAAAAATAAAAAATATCAAAAAATACAATCATTACACTTAACGGTGAAAATAGCAAGAAGGTCGAATTTCAACATGACATTGGTCTCAGAAACTTCGCATAAACAAAATCACGGCGGAAACCACAAATTTACACATAACACATAATTATGCGAATATCAAAATCACTACTCGCTTTTCGGGTAGTACTGACGTCACTGGACGGCATTAACAGCTGGTCGATTCAGACGTTGCTGAGAGAAGAAAACGACTCGAAGCAATCGGATGAAATTCAGGCTAGATGATCCATTTGAAAGACAAATAAAAGAAATTAAAAGTTAATCGGTTCCCCAATCCGTCTTGCGTAAGGACCAATTTTCTTAACTCATATCCAAGTTGAGTATTTTAGCTGATATTACTTTGTTGTCAATTGCTAATTATATAAAAGCCTAACGCCTGTAATGCGACACCAGCTTGTATGTAATTTAGTAACTTTTGCCTTTCTTTTTTCTGTACATTTTTGCGGCTTTCGCGTTTTGCCTTGGTATGAAGAAAGACCGCAGATTGCAAAATGATATCCGTAGAATGATTCGGAGGGTTAAAATGGTACCCTTCTGGTTTTGATGTACATTTCGTATAACAGGTTCGCGGAAACGGTAGCTTAGTTCCCGCCTGTGATACGCCTATGTAGACTTCGCTGCACAGTGAGCTGATTTGCAAAAATGCATGCAAAACGTATGGCACTCTTAATACTCACGGAATCAATGAAAGCTTTTCATTCAACGATTTACTCTTGTTGTAGTTCTGGTATGTTACCATGAAGAGACAACGTGGCTGAGTAGTCA